GCTGTTTTCAGTCATTTTGCAGAAAAAGCAAAACTGTGGACATCCGGTGGACGTCCCGCAATCTCTGGCCATCAAATCCATACCGATACCGATGAGATATATGAGATCCTTATCAGTTTTTAAACCATTTGAGAAATATTTCGAATCTGTCAAGAACTTAGCCATGTACAAACAATTATATTTATAGCAAGTCAGACTAAATAAATGGTGTAAACGTTCCCAGCTTCATTGGACAATTTTTCCCAAATCCTTTTACAACGTAACATAACATACATGCAACAAAAAAACATATATCGAGAAATTTCGTGTAGCTGAAATCGTGGTTTCGCTTGCACTGCGTTAGTTCATCACACCTGAATTTGCTTTTCTTTTGAAGAACGCTCTGATGCACCCTTTCTCCACGTGTTAAACTAGGACCTGCTTCTGGACCACAACTGCAGACTTTTTTCGAGCTGCCTTTTTAAAACTTATTAAAGCCTCTGACGATGGACGGTAGCGATCCCTTCGCCCTATGCAAAATTAATTCGGTTTCTCGATGCTGTGGTTTTGCAGTCATTCAATAAGCGCGCGCTATTTGTGCATTAGATCCAAGCATTTACTTGAACAAATACAAAAGTAGCAAGGAATGCCCCAGGCAGGGTCAGCCGTGACGCTCGCACTTTTTCTGAAATTTTGCGACCCCCCCCTCCTTTAGGGGGTCTCGATGCGACCCCCACAACCACCATGAGACTCAGGAGGCTCCCCGTACGACCACCCTTCTCCCTACCCCGACCACCACCCTCGCCATCATGGCTGTTTCTATAGTATTTGATTCTGAGACCACAACACAGCCCAACTCCACCTGTTTTCTCTCCAAAAGTGGCGTCAGCGGGGTAAGGGGCGGGGGGCGTGGGGGTGAGATTATTAATGCAACTGAAATGAGAACAGCAAACTTTCTCTCTTCCCACCTCTCCTAGGAGCGCCAATCACATCCACCAAGTCCACCAAATCCCTCAAAAACCAACCTAAGCAATCTAAATCGCCTCGCCATTTACCCAACCAATTACTAATCCAACTCAACCCCTGAATGCGACCCCCCCTCTTCACAGAACCAACCAAAAATGCGACCTCTCGTTCGAATAGTGGGAACGCACGGTCAACCCTGGCCCCACGTTGTCACCGCTGTTCAACAGGAGATGGAACCTCTATATGCGAATTGAACCGATAATCTCAAATATGTCTTTCAAATCTGCTAAGCGATCCTGTGCACAGAAGTACGGAGGCTTTGCTTTCTATCTGCAGTCCCAAACTGAGGGAGAAATGTGGGACAGTGGCGGAATCGGTATCGGTATGGATTTGATGGCCAGAGATTGCGGGACGTCCGCCGGATGTCCACAGTTTTGCTTTTTCTGCAAAATGACTGAAACAGCTGATTTTGCTTCATTTGTGATATTTTCAGGTTGCCTGTACGATGATTTTGCGCGTAACTCCTTAGAAGGCAGTATTTGCTTGTGATTGCGGTGACACCCTTAGCGCATGCGCGAAAGGCATTTGCATCAAAGTGAACGTACGCAGGGATACCTCTGTGAACAAATTTCTGGCCAGATCTGAGAATTTGACCACATCGACGAAGCAAGGCAGTCGCTGATGTTTTCTACCTGCCCCTAGCACCAAAGCTGACCTATCATTGACACCGACCAGTGGTCGTTTAAAGGAGAATTTCACGATAAGAAGGTCAAAGAAGGGGAAAATTGCATAGTTGGGAGACAGGCGGACCTCCTGAGGGTGCTGACCGACGCGCAATTGGCAGCGAAAGATTTGACCTCGGCGATCTAGCATGGCTCACTCTTGGCGCGGTTGGCGGGGTACGCCCACCGACTATCTAATCACTCGCCGCAGGTCTATACGTGGCGAGTGATTAGATAGCGAGAGAGCACAGCGATGAGACGCATCAATGCGCAAATCAACGGGCAAGGAAGGGGTCCCATTTCTCGGGTTTCGGGCCGTTTCAAATGGTTTCTTCTTCATCCCTGCTCCACTGACCACTACCCTTATTTCCAAAGCTAACTTTTCATCGTAAATTCTGCCTTCAAGAATAATGCCATGTGAGTCCTGCAATGATGCTACCGGAGGCCGACACTTTTTTTCCAAAAGCATAGCTGAAGGGTTCTTTCCATACCAAAATTAGCATTCGTTGATAGGTTGATGTTCGATTAAATGGCCTCCCCACTTTTTCGAAGTTGGGTAAAATTTCGGATTTGTATAGAAAATTGCCTCTAAAGACAGTTTGGCCTTCTGAACACGAACATTATACTTTGACGCTAAAGTGCTTAGCGCGTGCGCTACGGTGCTCAGACTTAATCTTCATCTTCAGCTCGTCTTACGATTTATTATAGGCAACCACTGACGAACTGTGTAACATACACAGGAGTCATTTTAGAAGTGCTGCGCACGCAAAGGACTAAACACACGAAGGAACCGATCCCATGAGCCCTTGTCAAGAGCCGCACTGCTGCCGCTGCGTTTTTCGGCCCCATAATTCCGTTCAGAGAACCTTTCAGCAGATTAATAGAAGACATGTTTGAAAACAGCGTCGAAATGAAAAAAGGGGACCCATCTCATCTTGAAAGGCCACAGCGACCTGAACGGCTTTCCTCATTAGGCATGAGTGGTATTTTAAGCCAATCAATGAAATTAGGGCACATTTACATAGCTATTGGGTTGGAACATAATATCGCCGCGATTGAATTTTTCATTTCTGCATGTGAAGAAAAAACTAAAAACATAAAATTAATCAGTGATGTTCACTCTGTCATTATTTATGACATCGATTGCATTTCGCAGGAAATTAGTGGATTCTTATGGAGCTCGTTTGTGAAGATCTCAATATTATCAATTGCACGACATAAATATGGTTTTAATTTGAGCGAAAGAGGTAGGATCGGCTAGAGCATCCTTTGATAATAGAAATGAATTCCAAAGAAGTTCCGTTACAGCGTTTTCATTTCTTCATGTAAACCAAGAAAAACAGCTGTACGAAATGCCGGTTTCTGCCGTCTGGATTTTCCGAATTCTGGGTACTATATCTGAGTTTAACTATAGTTTTCAGGAAAATAACTTCTACAGAGCAGAAAAATAAGTACAAATGATATGCGCGACTTTCCGGGCAATAAATGTGATCACTGAAACTACACACTCAAAAAAATGTTACGATACATACACATTATCCTCGATTTCGGAGAGAAGGAAAATCAAGTGCAGACCACACACCATAAGAGACGACGGCTAAGAAAAAAGAGCCGCTTTTGGCCGTCGTCTCGTGTGTGGCACTCGATTTTCTTCTCGTCTTCCGAAATAGAATATACGTTTCCAAACCAATATTATGATCAAGAAAAAACTTCTTGAGATATTCGTCTTCCACGTTGATTGAGCTCAAAATTCAAAAGTCAAAAAACATACACCAAGTATTACGGTACCTATTTGGTTTTTCTGCCAGCTTCCGTTTAGGTGAGAATTTTTTGAATTTTTGAAACAAAAAAAGTAAAAATAGGTGAAAAAAATTGATCAAAAATTAAAACAACATTTCAATTTAAATTTAATACCAGGTGCTGACGAACATGACAGCAAGGCTTTTGCGAGTGAGAGCCACAACCCTGACCACAATGGCCACGTACGTCCTGATAGCTTATCTTACAATCTTGTCATATGAAACCCTTAACGGCGATAAGTCGCTAGCTAATTTTAATCACTGAATATTTTAAAAACAACACTTTGTTTTTTTGCTAAAGTTATTTATGTTTATTATTGTTTATCCTCCAAGCTAGCGTTTCTCAAACGGGTTCAAGCAAAACTCTTCCGGAATGCGGGGAATCGAACCGCGCGCTTCGCGCGCGTGAGAGCCGCAAAATCCTAACCCAGTAGACCACATCGGACATATCATCAAGTCCCATCAACCAGCTCTTTTATAAAACCACACAGCAGCTGTAATCTTCAGCCGCTGATCTTTTCAAAAGGCATATATTAAAAAAGATCTTTTCGAATAATCTGCGGGCTAGCAATTGGTTTTCGAGCACCTTTTAACAATCAGTATAAAAAGCGAAAAATCCAGGTTTCAAAATAATGTATACTTTCTTTGTGCTTCTACAATTCAACAAAGTTTGGGGAAAACCTCTGGCTTATTTAGAGTGGTAATGAGGGCTGTGATGACTGAAAGAGTCAGACGCTCAATGTGATTTCGGGTGGTGGCGTTTTCTCACGATGCCCACCTTTTATGTGCGTCCGAAACAGTGTTTCGCTCCGTCGAATCCCATTTACTTCGCCCCGACCCCCGCCAATCAAAAAGATATCCATCTGGCCTTTCACCTTACGCAGTCACTGACTGTAAAGGAACGAGCGCCCTCCCTCCTCGCTCTGTCCCTTCTCAAGGCAAACATGTTTACCGCGAACGAGAAGGAATCGACGTATCACATGAATGAGGAATAGGACCAGTGCTATAGCCAGACTTAGCGGTAGTGGTGCGATCCGATCGGCCCCACCAATTCTCAGGGTTTCTCCTTAGGTCGTCTTTAAGTGCACCACTGCTCACTCATATGCTGAAAATGATTCATTTTTGATTCGTTCATGAGTCATGCCGAACGAATTTGCCTCTGGCTAGCTTCTTTGCTCAAACTCTACTGCCATGACTTTATTATTACATTTTTTCTTTCAATTCGAACGCCTAGAACCCAGGACCGATGACCACGGCAGCTATCAAAGCAGGAACACGAACTATTAGATGGCTGTACTATCCTTGCCCCTTCACGCTCACAATACCCTCTGCACAGTTGGCAGCCAGTCAATTACGTTCTATCGGTCGACCTTGTACCGCATGAGTCCCCGTCAGTCGGAGACCTCCGCTAACCGCCTTACCAACCCATGGGAATCCATCTAATCGATTTCTATTTGATTTCAAATAGCTACTCAGTTAGAACTGCGTTCTGTAGGCTTTTCAAAAAATGCTTTTTACTCTGAGTGCACTCCATTGACCCACATTTTCTACTACCAGTATTCGACTTTGCACGATCTGTTGACATCACATCATCATCATCGTGCATGGAAACATTCCCTTGTCTGTACAACAATTTTACACTCGGCGAACATGCCACGCGACCTACAGTGATCGATAAACGTTTTTTTTGCACGTCAATCCTGTTTTGAGTAATGCGTGATGTGACTATTATATTGTGTTGTCTTGCACACAATCCCATACTTTTTCTGTGTTCAAAAAAATGTCGTAGAATTTTTTTGATATTTCGGGTAGGTGCGAAGATCATGGTTAGCGATATAACTGCAACCCCGGATGATAACCAACATTTATTCGCACTGTACATTTATGCACTCTGAGCAGATCATATCCGTACTTCGCACAATGGACTTATTTGGCTCGGGACCTTTGGTGAGGGTCGCGCATTCTGAAACGACCTTATACTACGGTGGCATAAGATATAGAAATTCCATTACTCATTTACGGTGGACATTCGGAGTTCGTCAGATTTCGCATGCCGGCACAAGAACGTTTATCGATTGCTTTTTCATTCTTAGGAAATGGATTCACCTGTAGTTTGGGGGTGTCATACATATTGGTGCAGAGAGCCGAGCCATAAAAATTACGTTTAATAATTTCCTTCACCGTCAAAGAACCGAGAAGGTTATCACT